CTGTTGGTAGACTCCCAGGTTATGAGTTGGTGTGGCTAACCCACTGCCAACTAGTCCTGTGACTAACCCACTGCCAACTAGTCCTCTTGGGCCAAAGCGAATTCCTACTTCAGCCTGTCACTGCTCGCTGAGGAATTCTTCCTGGGCAGGTTTGCCAAGCTGATGGCTCTGGTCTCGGAGCAGGCCTAGATAGGCTGTTTCATTAACAGCAGTCCCTGGGTACCCTGGGAGGCAGAGATGTGAGGACCCCCCAAAATGGGTGCTAGGGATTAAATTAGACAGGGCAGCACCTGGTGTTATTATCTGAGCCTTGGACCAAGGTGACAAGGATGGGCTGCTGGGCTCTGAAGGCTAAAGCAAGGCAGCAAAATTTAAAACCATGAGTGGGCAAACAGCGACAGTAAGACTCAAGTCACCTTCCCATGCAATGCTCAGTTCTCCCCAGATATTATAGGAGGACTAACAAGTAAAGAGTATCAAGGAGATGGATCAAAAAGGACCAGGGAATAAAAACATGTTGGTTCAGGCGAGCGGGGAGGCAAAGAAAAGAGAAAAAGTACTATTCAGACAAAGCATTCATTAAAAAAATCAGAATGCTTGTCTGGCATGGTGGCACACGCCTTTAATCCTAGCATTTGAGAGGCAGAGGCAGGTAGACCTCAGAGTTTGAGGCCAGCCTGGCCTACAGAGCGAGTTCCAGGACAGCCAGGGTTACAGAGAGAAACCCCAGCTCGAAGAAAAATAGAAACAAACAAATGAAGCGAAACAAATCAGAAATGCTCACTTGATATCCCAACACTCCACAGGCGGAAGGATCAGGGGCTTAAGTTTATCCTTGGCTAGTGAGTTTGCCGCTAGCCTGAGCTATGGGAGACTTTTGTTTAAAAAAAAAAAAGACAAAAGAGGAAGAGATGGAAGGAAAGGGAAGGAAGGAGGGAATGAGAGAGAAAAAATAATAAGTGCCTGGCTAGACCAGAGTCAGGAAAGAGAACCGAAGCAACTGCCTGTCTCACCTAAGAATTCTTTAAAAGTAAATTTAACAGCTCATCCTAAAGTCAGCCTTGTCAGTACACACCTTCCATTGCCCGTCTCGGGGTTCTTGAACTCAGTTACTGGGGTGTAAACGTTTCTTTTACGTCTGGCTTTCCTGGTTACTTTCCTAAACTGTCCTTTCTACTTTGCAGAAACTGGAGATTCCCACTCCAGTGTAGTGGGTGCCCACTGCTAATCCAATCACCGCAGTAGAGGTTGAAGCAGGGGACCCGAGATTCATGACTAACCTGATCTACATAGCGAGGCTTAGTCATTTTGGACTTGATTTCAGTCCTCCTTAAAAGGGCCCTGGGCCTGTTTAGGCAGCACCGTCTAATCACGGTCATCTACTCACAACTCCCAAGAGCCCAGAAAGAACGCCTGTAGGATCTTTCCTGGCCCAGTTGTTTCAGCAGGGACCAACATCTCACTAGAGTTCTTTACCTTACCTCTGAGCTGGAAACACTGAATATCAATTCAAAGACGGGGGAGCCCTCGGGAAGTGCCACAGTGTGAAACTAGAGACAGGCTTCTTCATACCCAAGTCGACTGAGGACCAGGACAGGAGGTCGTGAAAGACTTCAAACCGGTCTTTAATAGCTCAGTAAACAGGTGAGCTGTCAAAATGACCCCCAACACACACACTCTTCCCTAAACCACAGTTTAGCAAAACAATGAGAGCAAACAACCTCGGGAGGAGGTCTAGGAATTCTAGCTTCCGGTTAGAATCATATCAGCAGCGTCAACCGAGGTAGCCTAAGGGAGAGTAGGAGGTGGCCTCCTTTCACCGAGGCGCGGGCAAGCTTCTGAAGTCCCCAATTTTGCATTTATTGTGTAAAGTGGGCATTGAAAGGATTAGCTAGCTCCATAATTAAGCCGAAAATGAAGTTAAAGCCTGGGTCAGAGCTTCTGTGCAGACTCCTGGGCCATCTGGAGAAAACAATAGCACACCTCTAAGGGCTGAGGGCTATCTGCGGTTTGTCGCTTGCCTCCGGTGGGTGGTTTGTTTGTTGTTTGTTTGAGCAATCAGAAGCTTAGGGAGGAAGGATAGCAAGAATTCCTGGGTGGAATCCCATTATTAAGCATAAACATAATTTATTCCCAGATTTTTTAGACTATATTTTGGTAGTGTTACTCGACATTTTGTTGTTTTTTTTTTTTAGGTAAATCAATCTTGCCTGTGGGTCAATTCTCTGGATGCTGGGACACCAATCAAAGCAGTGTGCGGTACTTTCTTTTAGAGGCATTTGACAAATCCAAGCTCTCTAACAGGTGCGGTTTGCAGAAGCTGAGTGAGAGCTAGGGGACGGTAAGGCAGTCTCGGGCACAGGCTGAGGTGGTAGATCTGAGCTGTGCCAAGAGCCCCGTAGGCTAAATCCAGAGGTGGGAGAGGTGGGAGTGTCTAGTAAACCCCGCCTGCACTGGGGGCCCCTCTGCTGGGAGTACATTTATTCACCCTGTAGCCGCAAGCCTGCACGGTTTAGCCCTCTGTAGTGTCCCAGGAGGGCCAGGGAAGGACACTGGACTGCCGGGCTCAGCTGGGACTTACCATTTACTCACTGACTGTGGCTTCCTGACTGCTCTATATGAGCACAACTTTGTGACTTAGTACACGGCAGGCGGGTGTCTGGATCAATAGGGAACGAATTCCTGTTGATTTACTAGTTACCTTATCTCCCTTAATTCACCCACTTCCTAGTCATGCTCACCTCAAGGCCTTTGCCTGGGAAACTTCTACTCCAGCTATCTTCAGGGCTTGAGCCCTCTTCTGGTCTTTCCTCACGTCCTGGCTCTATGTGAAACATATCCTCCTAAATCATAAATCTTCCAAAGCTCAGCTTTTCAGCAAGCGTCTGTGCTAACCTAATTTCTTATGTTTATTTCTCAACAGTGGACCTTGTTCTCCTAACATATGCTAAACCTGTAAGCACTAGTGAATCTCAACATCTGGATCACAGTGTTCAATATACAGGGCCTCAAGATATAGTTGAGGTGAAAAAATGATTATATATTTGTACTGGTATCGTGGCGATATGATAAATTATTGGCATTTTTACCATTAAAGATATGTAATATAGCCAAATTAATGGAAAACAAAGAAAATCTTAACACATTTAGACAACTCCTTAAGCTAAAACACACAAAGCAATAATAATAATTAGTTGTGATGTATTTTTAACTGTTTTTTAAATTATTGTAACTTTTAGGCTCTTGTCGGGTACTGGCATAAATCCATGTCCATTTTTGGCTTGCCCTCCACTGCAGTGCCCCCCCCCCTTAAGGACATGGCCAGCTCCATACATCTTTGTTTCTTCCTACAGTGCTTACCAGAACATACTGCAAGCAGTACAGAATGCTTTACGCTTATGAAAATATCTGTATAGTCGATTATTACATATGCACATGTGTGTTCCCTCTTCATATGCTTTATGTAATTCCACAGTAAAATAAACAAGAGTTTCTTTTTTTGTAGACCAGGCTGGTCTTGAACTCACAAAGACACACCCGCTACCCCCTTTGGAAAGAGTTTCTTCTCGAAGAGCCTCGCTTACCAACATCCTTGTTGACAAAAGATCGTCAACTCTCATAGAAGTTGAAGGTGGGCGAGCAGAACGTTCTAAAGTGCACACAGAGAGGAAATGTCCGCCCCTCCCCCTCTTCTTTAAGGAGGGGTCACACAAGACAGAGCATTTCACCCTGAAAAGTCACCAGCAAAGACGACAGTGGGCCTGTCTGTGCAAGGCTCAGGGGTTGAGGCCCTTGCTGCCAGTCTGACACCCAGAAACCACATGGAAGAAAAGAACCAATGTTTTCAAGTTGTCCTCTGACCGCCGTGTGCAAGCTTCAATAGCTGCACACACACACACACACACACACACGAAATAAATATATTAGTAAACAGTATTATTTATATAAATCATAACAAGATGATCCATCTTCAGGGCAAACTTTCTCACTAGAAACCCCTTCCTAACGCAAGGTAAAAAGATTACCTGCATCTTGCTTGGATTTGGGATTTAATCTCTAAGAGTTTGCTCTGGGGGAGCATTTCCAGAAAACACAGGCAGGCCTCCTAGGCACAATTTACCAGGAAACACTGCAAGCTCCTGCTAGGAGCCTCTCCCTTGTTCAGGTGACTGGCAGCCTCACCGACCTATTCAGGCACTTTCTCTTGGAATCTCAACCCCATAAAATGCCTCATCAGCCCCCATGCATCCCTGCAGGGGCCCGGTAAAATATGAACATTAAGAAAGTGAAGTGTGCAGGGCATGGTGGGGCCTGCCTTTAATCCCAGCATTAGGGAGGCAGACACAGCCGTATTTGAGTTCAAAAACTGCCTGGTCTCCAGAGTTAGTTGTTCCAGGACAACCAGAGCTACAAAGAAATCCCTGTCTTAAGAAGGGGGGGGGGGGGGTTGACAGGAAGGAAAGAAAAAGAAAAGGAGAGAGAGAATCTCAGATTCCCAAAAGTGACCCGGAAGTCATAGATGACCTCAAACATTTCTCCACCGTTTGAGCAGAGAAAGCAAAGGAGTTTTGACTGTGGTCTTCTTACCGCATCGTTAGTTAGTTTTCCCAGGATGCAAAATGAAATCCTGGGAACCACTAGGTAAAAGCTACTTCCATTAAATGCTCGTGTAATCCTAGATAGGCATTAGCCATAAAAACTAGGTAATACGTACTCGTCAAACCAGATTGTTAGTACTCGGTACTTAGACTCAATAGTGAATAAATTATCCCCATTGGCGCTAAGTATAACCTGGGGAGAATAAATACCCATCCACTTTCATTCGTAATTCGTTTGACTCATGTAGTGCCGCCAAACTAAGCAGTCAAGCTAAATGTTAATTGTGCGATTAAAGTGAACGTGCAGCCACTGTTTTTTCCAAACACTAAACTCAAAACAATTCAACCCACACACACACGAAAACCAAAACGTTGTGATTGCCTTGGATTTGAGTTACATACGTTTGACTCCTTCCACTATGAAGCTAAGGTGGTGGTGGAGACGTGGGTGGGTTGTCTCCTACAACTGACGGCTTTCCAATCCTTAGGCCACTGTCTAGTCCCTGGCCGAGTTTCGAACATTTTTTCTTCGATCCCCGTAGGGACTGAGCAGTTAAACCTTAAAGGGTGGCGACCGTGGTAGGTTCCTAAGTATGACAGCAGGCGTCCGGCATAGGCCAGACCCGCGACTTTCGTAGGGAAGCTGGCCTTTCCTCTCCATCCCAGCTCGGGTCAGTCAGGCTTCCCACTCCGCCCTCCTCCCTTCCGGGTCCCTCAAAATGGGACTGGTCCTGTGCACTTGTCGGTGGAGACTCTCGGAAAGGTCCCCTTGGCAGGGCCACGCGAGCAGAGTAAAGTTACCAGGGACAGCAAAAGGGCGGCCTCTGAGGACTTCCAATAGGACGCAGCCAGTTCCCGGCCTGGGACGCCCGGGGGGGAGGGGGGAGGGGGAAGGAAGAGTCGCCACCGAATGGAAGGAGGACAGCGGGACCCACCTCCGGCCCCCTCCCGCGCCCGCCCTCGGCCCCACCTCCCCCGGCTCGCACAAAGCCGTCCCCAAGGCGGGGACCGCGACGGACCAGGCCCAGCGCCCCGAGGCTCGCTCCGCAGCTCCCCGCCGGTCGAGAGTTACGATCCAGGACGCGGAGTGTCCGGAGTCCCTGCGCCCCACGGTCCTCCCATTTCCATCGAAAGCCTCGGTGAAGGCCGATCGAGCCCCACGCCCGAGGTGGCGGCCTCCGAGCAGTGGGCCGCGCGGTCACCGGACGCTTACGAGCCTGCGACGTCGGGGCTCAGGAGACTGGTCCAAGTGTGGGTGCCCCTTCGTTGCGGGCCTCAAAATCAGTCCCCCCATTTCCCAGAGGTCCTGTCCCGCACCTGCATGAGGTGACCGAACAATGCGTGGGCGGCGGGAGGGAGCGAGGAGCGGCACACCCACGGGCCCCTCAATTGCGGCCTGCCCGCGCCTCGCTCCCGTCGGGGGCCCACGCCGCAGCGCACACGCACCCCTGGCCGCCCCATGGGGAAGATGGCCGTGTCTGCAGCCGCATAAAAGCCCTTTGTTGAGCGCACACAAAAGCGGCCCAGACCGCTTTTGCAAAGCAGGCCCTTTGGCCTAATCGAAGGAGGTTGACTGAACTTCCAAATGGCCCAGGAAGTCAAACTGGGGAGCAGTTCCAGGCAAGGGGGCCTCCCGCCACCATCTACCAAAATCTCAATCCGTGCCCAAGGGTTGGTCAGGTCAGGGCAGTGGGAGCTGCGGTCGTTCGTTGGGGAAGCAGAGAAAAACCCATGTTTCCTAACAAGGCCCAAAAGGGGTATTAAACGTTCACGTTCATGTAGGGTTTTCTCCCCTAAATCGGGGTAGAAATAAACTCCGAGAGGGTCTGGATCCACCAAAAATGGAAAAAAGCAAAAAGAAAAAATACAAAAACAAAAACCAACAATATCAACTTAAAAAAAAAAAACACAACAAACCAGTTGCCATCAGCCCAAAGTGGCAGCAGCTGCAGCCGCCGGCGCGTGCGATCCACTTACTTGTCCGACTCTTGTGACATGTTTGATCCAATGAACTCGCTCCCCTTTTCCTGGCGCCTCAGCCTCTGGTGAAACTGGACTTTCAAGTCTGTGCAGGTGAAGGTGTGTGAGAGCGCCCGAGATGGCAGAACAAGAGCTACAGGTAATTCTGCTTTCGTCCCCCCTCACCACTCTCGCTCGCCCGCTCGCTCGCTCGCTCGCGCCCTCACCTAGCCGGAAAGGTGGGATGAGGGGGGGAGGCGGCCCTCACATGGGGCCCGCGCTCGGAGGCGGCCCGGCGGCGCGGAGTCCTCCCGGATCGTGGCAATGGGCAGACACAGAGCGGAAAGTGGCGGACTTGGGCGGCCACAGGTAACTTTCTCGCACGGCGCTGAATTCTTTCACTAAAGGGTACAAGCCCGAGGGCCGAGCTGCGCCGTGATTGGCTGCGCAGCTCGCTCAGGTGAGCTGCCATTGGCAGAGGCGCGCTCAGGTAAGGCCCTTCTCCAAGCGCAGGTAACTAACTCACTGCGAAGTTTCCCGGAGTGCAGCGGTGGTGGCAGGCTGGCGACGCTGCCGAGAGTGCTTCACCTTACTTTTTTTTTTTTTGCCTTCCTTCCCTGACTAGGGGCCGGGGAGGAGGTGACAGGAGAGGAGCCACGGGGAGCACCACCTGCAGACACCGGGTGCTGGGGGTCAAACCGAAGGACGATCGAGGGCTGAACTCAGAGATCAACAAGGCACCCGGAACCAAATGGGCAGTGCACCAGCTGCCACTTGATACCCGCTGGACGGCCTGGGTGACGGACAGAAGAGTCAGGGACGAGAGTTACGAGTTACGTTACGCTAAGAGTGGAAAAGAAACGGCTTGCTGGGCCTGTTGCGTAATTGCATTTTTAGCATTCTTATCCACAAGAAACTCTTCTCGCGCCCTGATGCATAGAAGATAGCAGGTCGTTTCAGTTCTCAAGTAGCCGAGCCACCTTGCCTGAGCTGGACCTACGAAGAGCGGCGAGGCTTTGATGGAGAACGGAGATTCGCTTGGATAGACTCTTGAGATGGTCCGGCGCACCTCTTCCATCTCACTGCAGCCTGGGATTCCTGCGCTGCGGAAGAACTCCATCTGTGTCATAAGCCTGTCGCCGGTTGACATTTCTAGGCAAGCATCAACATTTACATTGTAATTCAATAGAAGCAGTTACTACAAAGGCGCTTTATCCTTGCAGTTTAACATGGTTGCCAGGGGAACAAAGCTGGGCGAAACTGACTTTTCTGTGGTTTCTCTCCTCCTGGTTGGGAACAACTCGAATTAGCCCAGGTGTAATTTATAACCGCTGCTACCAGAGGAAAGTATTTGTGGGAGTTCTGGCAGGGATCTAGCCCGTACATGCGGACTGTGGAAATGCAGGAACCTTTGCCACGTGTTACTTCAGGTTAATGCTGGAGCTGATGGACTTGATACTACTTCTGTATTAACCTTTGCCGCCACCGATTTCCTGGGAATTAAATCACAAGACTAGGTTTCGTTGTTCCTTGTTTCCACTCTTAGCAAATGACTTCCACAATTGTATTCTTTTTAAAAATAATACTACAAGCACCCATAAGTGTACTTTTAAAAGTAATGTATTTTAACATAATTTTAACACGGTACCCATGTCCCCCTTAGAGACAACCACTGTCCACTGTCGGCTGGTCGTTCTGTGATTGCTTTCCTGTTTCCCAGAAACGCACCGTGCTATCCCTCGATGTATCAATAACGAAATAATCTGACCACTGCTCCTTTTGCCTGGTCACCTTCCAGTTCTGAATCTTCAGCACCGGTCCCTCTCAATATAGAGACTTAAGAATTGAGTGTCTATGCGAGTTCCGGGGACAACAGAACCCAGTGGTGTTTTCTGACTGTTCTCTTAAAAACTTCTTTTACTTTTTAATTTATTATGAGCCTATCCTAATATGTTTCTACTATGGATTGATCAAGTGACTGTAAAATTTATTTTCCAAATGGTCAAACAACCAGTTCCATCCTCCCCAGCAAACGTGCCCTCCCAGTCCTAGGGAGGTGGGCTGTTTTATGGACCCACCGCTCAGGTGTCATTCTAGGACACCAAGCTCTACACCGTGCGCCTTCTTTCAGGGTTTATTTTTCAATTCCCATGGCACATGGTATTTTTTTGTTTTGGTTTATTTTGTATATTTGTTTGTTTTTGGTTTTTTGAGACCAGGTTTCTCTGTAACTTTGGAGACTGTCCTGGAACTAGCTCTTGTAGAGCAGGCTGGCCTCAAACTCATAGAGATCTGCCCGCCTCTGTCCCAAGAGTGCTGGAATAAAAGGCATGCACCGCACCACCTGGCTGGTTTGTTTTGAGGGAGAGTCTCCTTGTAGCCCTTGCTGCCTGAATCTAGCTGTTTATATGAGACTGCTTACAAATTTGTGTTTGCCCTCCTGCTCAGGGCCCAGGCGTCCATTGCTGCACCTTGACCTTTTTGTTTTTCCTGTGTTTTTTGAGACAAGGTTTCCCTGTGTAGTTCTGGCTGGCCTCGAACTCACAGACATTGGCCTGCCTCTGCCTCCCGAGTACTGGAATTAAAAGCCCACTACCACTGCCTGGCCACCCCTTGGTTATTTTAAGAACCCTTCAAATTTGTAAAATAGATTTTACTATTGTTACTTTTAAAATACAGTTTAAATACAATAGTTCTTGTTACTTTTTAAATACAATCCTGTGACTGCCATGGCTACAATATCCCCCACCCCCCACCCCAGGAGGCTCCCGGTGGCAGATCCTCCTACAGCTGTCTGCAGGCCTTTCACTCTGTGCTCCCAGGTAAGGATGAGATCATAAGAACCTCTTCAGCAACCCTGTGGGGGTGGCGAGTGGGCTCGCTCCCTGGTGGACCTGCTGTCTTCCCCTCAGAGCTCTTGAGTCATGAGGCGTCTACCGTGTCTTGTACTCTGGAGCATTCACCAGCAAGTGATGTCTGGAAGCCATTCTAGGGAGGGCCTGGGTGAGCCACCCTGCAGCCCTTCCCGGTCTTTCCTTTTCTGGGGGCTCTGATTCCTGTCCTTGTGTAAATGGTGGGCAAGTGTTTCTCCTGCTGGCGGCCAGAAACAGAACAGGGAATCGGAAAATACTTCTTGTTAGAAGCTAAAACACCCAAAGAAGAGATGTGCAGTGTTTACAGTCCCATGAAGAGATAGCTCCCACCGGAGCACTGCACGAACCCCGCTGCCACCCCTTTGGGTTTCCGTGTCCTTACTCTCATGTATGAATGGAGAATAAAGACCTGCAGACAAGTGGGGAGAGGTCAGAAGGATCCAACACCTCCAGCTGCCATTACCTGGACCCCTGATTTTAGCTGCTTGCCTCTCCCGTACCCACCAGGGCCCCGAGTCTACTCGCCAGTGTCCCCCACAGGTGCCTCAGGTGTCTCCAAGGTCAGATCATCCTGTGTTTTTAGAACAACTGAGCCTTTTCTGCACTGACCTCTATGAGCATT